ATCGTCCTGTACGATCAATACAAATTTAATATGATCTCCTTATTTGTGTGTGCATGTTTTTATTCACTCAAGTTACAATCACTCCCTTTCAATTTGATTTCTAAGCAAAGTGCAAGCTTCAAAAATTTCAAGGTATCTCATGCTGATTTTAATTTGAAGTCTTCGTAGTCTGGAGTTCTTTCCCTGAAATGTTAGTACACACAAGAGCAAATACAATTCTTCCAATATTGTTAGGAGATAACTACACATTTGAACAATAATGTTTGAAATCATCAAAACTTTATAAGTTGCCAAAAATGTAATGCATGCAAATAGCAACTATCTTAACAGGTAATGGTAGCCAGAAAATGACGTTTTTCCTGTTGTGGAGTAGGAAGGTGTAGAAGAATATTTCAATGGGTAATTGTCATTGCTAACCAATTGAAGTTGAATGGAGAATTTGTAGAAGAAAAAAGGATTATTGATCAGATCCTATGAAGCTTGACAAGAAAATTTAAATCCACTGTAGTAGCCATCAAAGCGGCAAAGAACATTGACAAATGGATTTTTTTAATTTTTTTAAATTCTTCTTGAATTTTTGGCGCAAAAAAAAAATCTGTCAAAAATATTTTAACAGCAAAAAATTCACCGGAAATCCGCCGAAAATGTTTTCGGCGAATAATTTTACGTCAGAAGACCTTTTCCAACGTGCGTTAAACTGGCAAAAATACTTCAGCCGGAAATGCTAACTTCTGACGAATTTTGGCCATTTTTTCGCAGGTAATGGTAGCCAGAAAATGACGTTTTTCCTGTTGTGGAGTAGGAAGGTGTAGAAGAATATTTCAATCGGGTAATTGTCATTGCTAACCAATTGAAGTTGAATGGAGAATTTGTAGAAGAAAAAATGATTATTGATCAGATCCTATGAAGCTTGACAAGAAAAATTTAAATCCACTGTAGTAGCCATCAAAGCGGCAAAGAACATTGAGAAAATGTTTCTTAAGGTTGCTTGGATCTCTTCAATCACATGAATTAAGATTAAAGCAATATGATTCGACACCAATTGAGTAAGCCTTCCAAACCCAAGTGACATTGCGTAGGAATTTTAGAGGTTGTAGTGAAAGAGGTTTTGGTAGAGGAAAAGGCTCTTTTGGTAGATGAAGTGTTTTTTTTGTTACTAGAGGAAGAGATCATGTTGGTAGAGGAGAACTTACACAATGTGATGGAAATGAAGTTCAATGTGGAGCTCATGATAATGAAGAAGGTGCACGTGGTCACAAACATAACTTTAGAGGTAGAGGAAGAAGCAACCTTGACAATATCATATGTCACTTTTGCAAACGGTATGGACACACTTATTAATTTTATTGAAAGAGATAACAGAATGAAGAGGTAAATGTAGATATGGTGCAAGAAAAGGAAGTCAAGATAAGGTGAAGACACAATGCTTCTTATATATAGTAAGAAATTTGGTTATTTGAGAGATGTATAATTTATTAATAGTGGTTGTAGTAATCACATGACTTGCAATAGAAGCTTGTTTGTAACTTTGGATAAGTCAATCAAAAGTGAAGTACACACTGGAGATGACAATAAATTTTTTTTGGAAAAAAAAAGTGATTTTTTGGTGCAAAAAAGAAGGGAGAAAAGAAGATATCGAATGTCTTCTATGTTCCAAATCTTAAGCATAATTTGCTTAGTGTTGGACAATTAAATCAAAAGGGATATGTGTTAATATTTTTTCTTGACACTTATACCATTAGAGTCAAGAATGAATTTCTGATAGCCAAGGTGAAGGTGACTCTAAATAAAATGTATCCCATGAAGATGATTTGTAGTTTAAATGGTTGTTTGAAAACTTTCATAGAGAATCATTCAAGACTATGACATTGCAAATTTGGTCACTTGAGTTTAAGGACACTTTCGAACATGAGTTAGAAGAACATAATCGATGGACTTCAATATATTTAAGTTCAAGATAAGATCTGCGAGGTATGTGTTGTAGGAAAGTAGAGCAGAGCATAATTTCCAATTGAAAAATCATGAAGAGCCTTAAAGCCATTGGAGCTTATTCATTTACATTTATGTGGACCGATGCATATTACTTTTATTAGAGGTAATTATTATTTTCTCTCCTTTATTGACGATTATAAGTTTGGGTGTATTTTCTAAAAGAGAAGTCACAAGCAATTGAATACCTAAAAAATATTCAAAGAACATGTGGATAAGTAGAGTGGACATTCCATTAAAGTGTTGAAGAGTGATAGAGGTGGAGAATGCGTTAAACATGAGATGCAAAAGTGATGAGGATATGTATTTGTTTAATAGAGTGAAATCAAAAGGCACTCCATCTCAAACCACTTTTGAAATGTGGATTACTTGAGAGTATTTCTAATGTTTATGTACTTGATCAAAAGAGAAGGAAGTTAAATAAAAAATCTAAGAAGTGTGTGTTTATATGATACAGTGAAAAATTCAAAGCCTATAAATTGTATAATCATACAACCAAAAAAATGGTAGTGAGTAGGGATTTGAGAATTGAGGAGAACTTAGCTTGGAACTGACTTGAAAAAGACAACAACGAGGATTTCACAGTTGTGGGAAGTTTAGAAAAAATTATTGATGATGTAGAGCAACAAACACTACTACACACTACAATGAGATTAGGAAAATTATATTTTATCATGAGTAAGACAAAAAGCTTACAGGTGATATATGACACCACAAATTATCATGAGTAGTTGTCTTAACTTATTTTATATATATAGATGATGAGCCCTTAACTTTTAGTGAGGGAGTAACAGATAAGAAATAGATGGATGTCATGAAACATGAGATTGATGCTATTGCGAGAAATGACATATGGAGTTTGACCTCACTTCCTAAAGGTCAAAAATTCATTGGTGTCAAGTTGGTGTACAAAGTGAAGAAGAATGTTGATGGAGGTATAAACAAATTTAAGGTTATACTTGTAGTTAAAGGATATAAGCAGGAGAATGTGATAGAGTATGAGGAGGTATACGATGTGGTTGCTAAATTTAATTCAGTCAGATAATTTTTTTTCTAATGCAGTTATGCATAGATGGCAGATTTATCAATTAGATGTGAATTTAGCTTTCTTAAATGGTGTTTTGAAGGAATAAGTATATGTAGATCATCTTGAAGGTTTTATTATAAAGGAAACAGAGCATTTGGTGTATCTCTTAAAAAAGACTTTGTATGGCTTGAAACAAGCCACAATGACTTAGAATTTATGTATTGATAGACATTTTGGAGAAGGGTTTACTACATGCCCTTATGAACATGGTGTATACATGAAGATAGACTCAAATGGCAACATATTAATTACATGATTATATACAAATGGTTTTCTTATAACATGTGATTATGAGCATGTGATTACAGACTATAAATCAGCTATGTTCAAAAGATTTAACATAACAGATGTTAGTCTCATGTCATTATTTTTTTGTATAATAGTTCAGCTGAAAGATGATGGCATTTAGATATGTTAAAAGAGGTATGCCAAGAAGTTGCTTGAGAAGTTTAAGACAAATCATTTCAATATTATGTCAACACCAATACAAATTGGAGTTCATTTCACAAAAGGAGAAGAAAAATTAGTTGATCTGATATTGTACAAAAGTTTAATTGGGTGCCTCAGATACTTGATAGTGTCGAGACCTGACATTGTGTATAGTGTGGGAATCTTGATTAGATTCATAGAGAATTTGAGGGATTCTCATTGATCTGCAGCGAAGAGGATTCTTAGATGTATCAATGGGACAATTGAGTTTGACCTTCATTATCAATGCAGTGGAAACATGAGGTTACTTGGATATTGTGATAGTGATTGAGCAAATGATCATGAGGAAAGAAATAAAACAAGTGGATATGGGTTTTATGTTAGTGATACTGCCTTCACTTAGAGCACACGTAAGCAAAAAGATGTAGCCTTATCAACTTGTAAGGCATAGTACATACTAGCAACGGATATGGCTTGTGAAGCAATATAGTTGAAGAATTTGTTGAATGAATTTTATGGAGAGATTAATGAAGCTACAACAATTTATATAGATAAGTTGGTGATCGAGTTGGCAAAAAATCCAGTACAATATGGCAGGAGTAAGCATAATGATGTGCGTTCCCATTTTATCAGAGACACGGTAAAGATGGGTCACATTACCATGAAGAACTGCAGTACAAAGGATCATATAGCTTATTTGTTCACCAAAGCATTGTCAGCACCGAGGTTTGTAAAACTACTGAAGATGCTTGGGACAATGAAAGTCTTAGTTTGAGAGGGAGATTGTTGAATTTTTCCAAACCAAGCTACGCTTCACTTTTTTTATTTTATTTTATTTTATTTTATTTTCGGATAGTTTAAAAACTTGCTCTTGTGTTCCCTATTTCTTAGAATTCTGTAAAGAAGCAAAAGAGTGTTCTCTCTATTTTTTAGTTTAACAAACCCGATGAAAGACAATAGTGTGGTTTTGCTCTTTTTATTTTTATTTTTTTTTTTCTTATGGGCGTGAACTATCTATTGAACAAAATTTTTTTAATTTTTTTTTTATCTCTCCTTCCACATTTTGTTATGCTTTTATTGCTTCCATCACTTCCATGAGTCATGATATTTTTCTCCTTACTCTATAGAGACGTCGGTTTGAGATTCAATGAAGGGCTTTCTCTCTCGCCAAATTATTAGGTCTGGTCATCGGGCCTATTTCTAGCTATTTCTAGGTCCGGACATCCACAAAAAATTTGCCACGTGGACTGTGCTTTGACTGAAAAAAGCGTAGTAAAAAACACAGGTAAAGTGCAGATAAAGTGTAGATAAAGCACAGTTAAAGAGCAGTAAAAAAGCACAGTCAAAGCGCACCTAAAGCACAGTTAAAGCACACAGTAAAAATGCAATCCACGTGGCAAATTTTTATTGGATGTCTGGACCTATTTCTAGGTCAAGTGACCGGACCTAATAATTTGCCTTATCTATGAGATTTCTTACTAAGTTAGATGATTTCTTAAAAAAAGTTCTTTCTAAACAACTAGAAAGATAAAAAAGAGAATGAAACCTCCATCAGAATAGGGTCTGTGATCAAATGATGCAGCTTAGCTATGGAAACTTGTTGTATTAACTTATTATAACAAGGTCAAATTCAAACCACGTCGATGAAAACTTTTGCCACCGTTGACCAGATCAGAACCTTCCCTTCCTTATTTTAATCATTTCGTCAACAGCTTATGCCAGGTTAAAACTTAAGAATTGTCACCCCTCTTCAAAATTCTGACAAATAGTCAAATCAAATTTTGGTAAACGAACGCCGGAATTAAAGAAAGAAAAAAAATTTCATGTCATCAACCAAAGATAAATACCGAAGTAGCGGAACCATGCTTTACATTGTTACCATTTTTTTTTTTTTTCATTCTTCTCATGGGGCATAAGCTTCAAAGCTTGCATTTGTTTCAGCTTGGCCGGTGCTTCAGCTCTAAAGGGCGGCGGACATATCCAGCTCCACCGAAATCATCGTCCGTGAAGGTTATTGGGCTGGACGGGCGGGTCATAGTCTATAACCGGCGGGTAAAGGTGGAGGAGTTGATGAAGGAACACGCTTGCCATCTCGTTTGCCGGTCGGACTCTTTCATCATAGGGCAGAAATTGTCTGCTCTCTCGGCCGCCGAGGAACTTCAGATGGGCGAAAGCTATTTCGTTCTTCCTTCTCAATTCTTTCAATCCGTTCTCTCCTTTGTAACCATAGCCTCTTCGATAGCTAAAATCGGCGGCCGCGGAGGAGGCGGTTCTTTCAAGCATTTCGACATACACAAGACGGAGAATGGAAAGCTGCAGATAAGGATTGGTGAAGAGGTGGATGAAATGATTGGGGAGGAGGAAGAGGAAATTAAAAAAGACGGGGTCTTGTGTACGACGACGGATATGGTGAAGGAATATGAGAAGATCGTGGGATCCAATGCGCAGCGGTGGAGGCCGAAGCTAGAAGTGATAGCTGAGTCGCCGGAGGGGAGGAGGCGCAGAAAGAGAGAAATGAGTTTTGGAGATTTTGGAGGGTTGAGGATGAAAATGTAAGTATAATCTCTGCCCTAAGTTGCCTTAATTTTTTTTTTTTAGAAGGATCAATTTTGTGAACAGTAAAAATTTGTTTGGCTATCTGTGATTATCAAATTCTGTTGTAAAAATAATAAATAATTCTTGTAAATTTAAAATTTTTAATTGGAATTCTCCTTGTGTTTTCTCCCGGCCTTTTTGTGGGGGTGTTTTTTTTGGGATTTTTTTTAAATATAAGTACTTCAATAACATAACATAATTAAAATATATAAATTTTAAAAATATATTTGTTATTTAATTTGATATAAATAAAAAATGTTGAAATGTTTTTTATTTGTAGTTACAAGCTAGAAAATTTGAGTTGATAAAATTGATATTTTATGCCTTAGCTTTGGATAAAAATTGGCAAGCACATATAAAAAGTTATAAGAGTGTTATAGGCAAGAATATTCGTGGCGATAGAGTTAGATTTTCTCATCTTCGTTTTGCACGAATATTCAGCACACAAACATAGAATTCACAAACCCAAATTTTTTTACGTGGAAAACCTTGAAAAAAGTAAAAAACATGGGGTCACGCTTAGTTGAAATAATTTCACTAGTGTTTGAATAAATTACAAGTGCTAGATTTGTCCTTGAAATCAGATTACAATCACCAATTTTCAAGTTGAAATCTAGTGATGAATGGAGATCAGACGAAAGTTCGGTGTCAATCATTGGCCGAGCGGAAATCTAAGTCGGTGCACTACAGGAAAAACGTCAATTTATTGCGCCGATTTTTCGTTGGAAAATGCCGAAAATCCATCGTATTTTCGGCAAAAATATTTACATTAGTAAAACGTGCGTCGGAAAAGTTCTACAGGCTTTAAACTGTCCGTTAGAAAAAATTCCGATGAAAAATCCATCGAAAATATTTCTAGCGAATATAAACTCTGCCGGAAAAATAAAGAAATTTAAAAAAAAAATGCAATCCTATTTAAGCACCCCCACCCCCGCGCGCGTCCAATTAGCTGGGCTCACTCGCCCGAGCGCTGCCCAATAATCCGATGCCCGACACCCGCTGTCTGGAGCTCATGACCCGCTTGGATCAAATGTGACCCGCTGCTAGCTCCGTGTGACCCGCCCGCATCACTTGCACCTATCAGGGTTC